ATTATTGTTTTTGGTTTTGGAGGGATTATTATTAGGCTCTGTGTGGAGTAAGGAAACTTGCCCAAGGTCTCGCCCTCTGCCTGGAATTGAACTCAGGTCTCTCACTTGCAAAGCGAGTGCTCTACCCACTGAGCTACAGGACTCCACAAGTGAGAGATTGCTGGGTGGGGTGAAACCTTAGGCAAGTTTCCTTATTCCACACACCTCTGTTTTCCAAGCAGTAAGTAGGAACCTGGTTGATAGTTGATTGGTGGATTGCTTTTCAGGGGTAATAATCTCTCACAAAAATTAATTTGGTCACTGAATCCACCACTGTTTGTGGGATACTGCTGTGCACACTTGGCTGCAGCATTTCACCCACAGAACACGCAGTCACTACTCATTACAGTATGTTCTCTGAAGCGTTTTGAGACCTCTCAGCAAACCCCAAACATGGAGCAGTCGGTGAGGCTGTAGAGAAGCAACAACCGGATCAGAAACAAACACTGGAGCAGAGAGTAATGAGGGTCAGAGGAGGAGTTGGGCATTCGGTGTCTCAGCGCTGTGTTATCTGTGTGGTCTCTGTACAGGAAGGGGGAGAGTGGGTTAAGACATCTCAGGGTGTGTCAGGGGTTGAGGATTAGCGATGTGTGTAGACTGTGTATAATGATTGGACTTAAAATAATGGCATAACATGATTTATTGTAAATTGAGGCAGTATTTTGCAAGTGAATGACAATACGTTGGATATTAATATCCACTTGAACAGACACAGACGTGACCTCGGTTTAATGAAGGTTAATGATGCAGCTTCTTGGGTGACTGTTAGTGAATGAGAAATATTACAGAGTATAAAAGATGACACTGAAAATATACATTGTTTATACACAGTGAGACGCGGCTGCTCACTGGGGAACAACATGTCACCTTGTTTATAGATGTAAAAGTGATTTGGGAGATTTCAGTGAGATTCTGAGCGCAGCCCCGACTGTGAGACTGGGCATTGCTGGAGAGAAAGATATCAGCGATATATATCCCTGTCTCAGAGCGTGTGAGCTCACACACTGGATGGCAAGTCAGATTCTCCCAACACGAGCACAGAGACGAGCTGGCGATGAGCTTTACAAAGATGGGTCACGTTTTGCTCCCACACATTGGGTGTCAGGTTCCTCTGATGCTCTGAATGATGTTAATCCAGACGAGCTGTTGCGGTGCTGGTGCTGATTGTGCTGTCTGGCGGCTACAGTGGCTCATTACACTGAACCCCCGGCTCGAGGCCGGACCAATGGGGGAGATCCCGTCTGGAGAGCCGGAATTTCCAGCTGAGTGTCATTACAATGTCGGTCCCGGCATTTACTGCTTTATTGTAAAACGCCAATAAATTGTAATTGTTTGAATCCCAGGAACAGAAGATAGTGTATAAGTGATTCAAACAATCTGAGTGACAGTGGGTATCCCCGGCCCCTGTGAAGGCCAGTGGGGATGGTGAGGCGGCTGAGTGTGAGAGGAGAGCTGAGCCTGTGGGAGGTTACACAGCGAAGACCATCGAAAATTTTAAAGATATCTATTTTGGTGTCAGACTCAGTCCGGCTGGTTTGTGAATCCAGGATACCCGGAGTCCTGTTAGTGGGGTTTACTGTATTGATGCTGGAATGTGCAGTTGCCGTGTTGTGGCTGCTCAGTGACGATGGCCACAGATGGCTTTCCCGGCACAGGATACAATGTGGAGCTGACGTCTCCCAGGGAGACCCCACTCAGCCCCGCTCTTCACTTCCCATCACAATCTCAGCTCAAAACTGGAGCAACAGCACAGAATCAAACACTCGGCACCATCCAAACCTAATGGAAATAACAGTCACATTTTCCTCCTCATTAACCTGTCACCGGCAGATTGTCAGAGGCTCAGAATCAAACATGGGATGTAAAAGAGGATAAAGTTTCTCAGTGAAAGTTTGGGTGAAAGTGTGGAGATGAGACATGTTGTCAGCGTTGTAAAATGACACCTGTCCCCCCTCATAGTCCAGGTAAACCCCGACCTTCCCGGGTCCCACTGTCAGGGGCTGACGGGTGGGAGGTAACAACTGTGCATAACAAACCCCGTTCCACAGCCTCAGCCCCCCGACCCCATCCTCTGGTGACCATCTGATTGGTTGTTTCCTGTTGACCGACTCTCTGGCCAATCCCACAATCCACCTTCTCTTGTTGCCCACCTGCACCTCCCAGTAATGTCTCCCTGATGTGAAGCCCTCAGATCCCAGGACAATCCCAGGATAAACCTCTTCGGGGAGTCAGGGAGCGGCTGCTGTTTGTTTCCGTATCTCACACTGGTCCTGTCCTCAGACAGGATGAGCCGGGGATGGGCTGTGTCAGGATCCAGAGTGACTGTAACTGGAAGGAGAATCAGACCATTAATGTCAGACACATTTACAATTATAAATAACAACACGATTCCATTTATAGATTCCATTTAAATAAGATTCCAAATAAGATGATCTTCAGCGTCGTCACCGGGAGAGAAGCCTTTGTGTAAAAGAATAACAACTCCTGGGAGCAGAATTCAGCACATAGGCTGACAGTCTGTGTGGGTGGTGTATGTATGTGAGGATGTGTGGGCAGGGGATGTAAGGGTATTTGCGGGGGTTGGGATGTGAGGGTGTGTTGGCGGGATGTGAGTGTGTATAGGGGATTATGAGGATGTGTTTGGGGTATGTGAGTGTGTTTCTATGGGGTGGATGTGAATGTGTCTGTGGGGGGTATTGTTAGGGTATGTGTGTGGGTGCATTTGAGTGAGTGAGTTTGGGTGGGTTGCAAATGTGTGTGAGCGGGGATGTCAGGTGTGTCTCTGAGGGAGAGTGTGAGGGTGTGTGTGCAGGGGGCAATGTGATAGTGTGTTTTGGAATGACGTGAGGGTGTGTGGATGGGATGTCAGGGTGTGTGTGTGGGTGTCTGTGACAATGGTTGGTGTTAAACCGCCTGCAATAATTAATGGAATAGAATCATTGAAATTTACAATCCAGAAGGAGGCCATTCACCATCGAGGCTCCATGGGGTCTCAGAGCGAGGTGTTCATCCAACAGCTGCCCTGCCCTATCACTAAATCCTTTCAAGCCTCTATCACTCACATACCTGTCTACTTCCCTGTCTACTTCCCCTCCACCATTGGAGATCGTGCATTTAGCCACTACACCCCTAATCTCTGGAACACTCTCCCTCAATCCCTCCGCCTTGCCCCCTCCCCTTTTGCAAGTCACGCCTGAAAACCTTCCTTTGCGACCATGCTTTTGGTCACCTCCAAGCCCACCCACACCACCCCGGCTCAGTCAGGCTCTGCCACTTTTAAAGCATTCTGAGATGCTACACTGCATGGAGGGTGCTATATTAAGTGCTATTTGTTTTTGTCCTATAATAATAATCCTTGAATTTTATTTGGCTCCTCATAAGCATTTCACAGGATTTACTGGAGAGTGTATTTTGTTGGCAAACAGAAGTAATTTAGCTGCTAATGTCTGCTTTGTGTGAAGCTTGTGACTCAGATTAATCACAATGTGAAATTGTTATTTTATTTTGATGATTTACCCACTCTTCTCAAGATCTGGAGGATACAAAACAAATCTGTTAGAAACCGCTCCTGAATTCAGTATTATTTAATGGGCAGTCTACATGTTTACAACATTAACAGTTAGAAACTAAACAAAGTGCAGCTCAACACAATTACAGGATGTTTGAAGGACAAAAAGAGGCCATTTGGCCTATCGAGTTTGTGCCAGCTCTTTGAAAAGAGCAATGTAATGTCAATCCCACTCCCCAGCCCTTTTCCCATAACCCTACAGATCCGTACTCCTCAAATACACGTCCACCACATTTTTAAAAGTAGTTATTGAATTGGCCTCGACCGCCCTTTCAGGCAATACGTTCCAGATTTGAACAACTCGCTGTGTGAAAAGATTTCTTCTCACCTCCCCTCGGCTTCTTTTAGAGACTATTTTGGATCTGTGATCTTGAGTCACCGACACACCCACCAGTGGAAACAGTTTTTCCCTTTCTAACCTATCAAATCCCCTCATGATTTTAAAGACCTCTATTAGGTCTCCTCGTAACCTTCTCTGCTCCAATGAGAATAATCCTAACCTCTCCAGCCTTTCCTCATAATCAAGGTCCCTTTTGTGTGGCACTTTGTTAAATGCCTTTTTAAAATCTAAATATACTACGTCTACTGGATCCACCCTATCTAACCTGCTAGATACATCTTCAAAAAACTCTAAAAGATTAGTTAAGCAAGAAGAGCAGTGGTCCTAATACCGATCCCTGGGGACGCCACTGTACACTTCCCTCCAGTCAGAAAAGCAGCCGTTCACCACAACTCTCTGCTTTCTGTCTTCCAGCCAGTTCTGGATCCATACTGCCACTGTCCCCGTGGCTTTATATCTTTCTTACAAGTCTTTCATGTGGCACTTTGTCAAATGCCTTTTGAAAGTCCATATAAACTACATCAACTGCACTACCTTTACCCACCCTCACTGTTACCTCATTGAAAAATTCTATTAGATTTGTTAGACAAGATTTACCTTTAACAAATCCGTGTTGGCTGTCCCTAATTAACCCATATTCTTCTAAGTGAGGATTTATTCTGTCCCGGATTATAGTCTCCAGGAGTTTCCCCACTACTGTTGTGAGGCTGACTGGCCTGTAGTTCCCAGGTTTGTTCTTCTGTCCCTTTTTGTACAGGGGAGTCACATTGGCCACTCTCCAGTCCTTTGGCACCACCCCTGTTCCAACGAAGATTGAAAATTTTTCTTTTTGTTTATACTTATCCTATCCATTCCTCTACCCTCTCCTCCGATACTGCGGCATTGGGTGCATCCACTTATTTTGTGAAGACAGATGCAAAGTATTCATTCAACACATCAGCCATGCCATCTGCCTCCACAATAAGATTTCCGCCTTGGTCCTTAATTGGCCCCACACTACCTTTGACTAGCCTTTTTTTCTTGATATGTTTGTAAAATATTTTAGAATTCCCTTTAATGTTGTCCTTCCCTATCCAGTGAGGAAACCACCAAACCCAATGGCACTTTGGGAAAGAACTCATCTGTCAAGAAATGTAAATAGACATTTAAACATCTATTCTCATATCAAACAGCAAATACCTTTATAAACCCCCATATGACTGTGTTACATACGATAGCTCAGTAGATGTCACAGGCTTAATTAATGTACTTTTACTGAGGAGGGAGATGGGGTCTTGGAGCTGAAGTGGCTCCAAGGTGAATTGCTTGGTAACAGAATGTCAGACTAAAATGCATTATTTGTGGCCGTCTCGTTAGCCCAGTCCCTGAGAGCGAGACTCCAAGGGTGAAAGTGTGGATACGGAAAAGGTGAGGAACAAAGATAGAGCTCTGAGGAATGCAATCTGTGAACATACTGGGCAGGAGGAGAAGCCATTGGATACAATAAAGTGGAGATGCAGAACCGACAGGAGTAAAACCAGCAAAGTATGATGGCTCTGAGGTGAATCAAGGAGGAGAAGTGGTCAACTGTAAAAGATGACAGAGAGACAGAGCAGGACAAGGCGACACAGGGAGCCCTGGTCACAGACAGAAAAAACATCACCTGTGACTTTGACCAGGGCTGTCTTGGTGCTGTGAGCAGGGAGGAAGCCAGTTTGGAGAGATTTCTACAGCAAATGATGGGAGAGGCAGGAATGGAACTCATTCCAGCATCTTGCAGAGGAAGGGCAGGTTGGAAGTGGGGCAACTTCACAGTTTGTGAGGAGTTCAGTGGAAGATTTTTGAGAAGAGGGTAAATGGCAGCATTTCTGAAAGAGAATTACCATATCAGAGGAAAGGAAATCATTCCTAATATCTATTTTACTTCAGTTTACAAATGTGATTTTTGGAGCAACCTCTAACTTTTATTGTCAAGTAAAACAAATTAGTGACCCCAAAAAGAAGTGGAAAGGGACATTGGAACAAATGTAAAACAGAATCCCAAGACATTCTTTCAATATTATAGCAACAAGAGGGTAATCGGGGAACAAGTTAAATCCAAAGGGACCGAAAGCATAATGAAGAGAAGCCTGAGTAGAAGATAGTGAATGTATTTTACGTCTTCTAGATGTCTCAAAGTGCTTCACAGAATATACTGTAAAATGAATTGACTACATTTGTGGGCAAAATGCGGCAGCCAATTGCACACAGCAGTGTCCCACAAACAGTTGTGGTTTGAAGTGACCAATTTTATTACTGTTTTTTTTCTTGAGGGATTATTATCAGGCATCTGGTGTAAGAAAACTTGCCCAAGGTTTTGCCCTGCCGGGAATCAAACCCGAGTGTCTCGCTTGTGAAGCGAGCGCTCTAACCACTGAGCTACAAGACTCCATGTTTTGGTGAGCACGTTTTGGTGGCAATCAAAGGAGACGGTCACTCACAATGTGCTGTCAAACATACCAGTGATGACAAAGCCATGAACCTAAGATCAGTGAATGGAAAATTCATGGGAAAAATTAATAGAAGCAAATAATTGGAAGATGACCCCAATCTATACTTCTGTCTTAAACCCGACCTTCAGAAGGTTGAACCTGTGTCCTCTTCTCCTGCTGCCTCTGTGTGGATGCCCTATAACTATATCCAATTACTTCTCAGCTCTTAACTTGGAGCCTTCCCTTCACTGTGAGGTGGATCAGGCAACATTTATAATAAAATAACAATAATGCTTGCATATGATATAGTGCCTTACAATGTCATCAGGACGCCTCAAAGCAATTCATAGAATATATTGTGAAGTGAATTGACTGTATATTTTGTGGGTGAAACGCGGCAGCCAATTACGTACTGTGGTGTCCCACAAACAGTTGTGGATTATGTGACCGAATTTTTATTTTTATTGTTGAAAGACTTATTACCCCCGGGAAAGCGATCTGCCAATCCACTAACAACCGGGTTCCTACTTTCTGCTAAGTAAATAGAGCACTGTGAAGTAGGGAAAGTTGACCGAAGTTTCACCCAGCAAGGAATCAAACCCGGGTCCTCTCGTTTGCAAGGAGAGTGCTGTGACCACTGAGCTACAGGACTCCATTGTAGCAATGTTGGCTGTGAGTTATGAAGAATTTATTCATAGAGAAGGTAATCAGCAGCTTGAATAGGTTAGCAGGAAGGGTGGGTGAGCGAGAGTGCTGAGGTCATTTCAGAATTGATTTCAGTTTGGTATTGTAATGGGAAGATGGTGAGTTTTGAAAGGATGAGATCAGATGGGCCCCACCTTCTAGACTAATCTTATTTTTACTTAACATGTTCCACAAATCTGCATCATATTTACCAGACTATCATTAATATTTCAATATATTTACTGACCTGAGATTTGAAGTTTTACTTCTTGCTTATTTTCAGAATTGTGAATGAGACACCTGATCTTGTTGGTTGAATGGATTATTTCTATTAGACTGTTATCATTGAAGAGATCTTTAGAATCCTCTCTGACTGTCCAGTTACTGTGTGTTGTTAAGTTGTTTCCCTCATCATCAAACCATAGAACCTCTGGTGCTGGGAACCATCCACTGGATTCACACAGCAGCCTCACACCATCACTGTGCTGCCCATCAACTTGAATCCAAGGCCGACTGCCAAGGCCTGGAAGAGACAGAAGACGTGAAGCTACTATTTTATACCCGGGACATTAAAGAGCATTTCAGACTTTACTGAAGGCATCTTTGTAACAGTTTGAAAAAATACGAATGTAGGTTTATCTTGTTTCTGATTTGTTATATGTTCATCATAATAATGAGAACATTTACAAATATGTTATAAAATAAAAAGAGGTAAACATCAATTACCCAGAACCTGCAATTGTATCACTGCCTCTTCATACCATCCAGCGTAGTCAATGAAGCATGTGTACTCTCCGTTATCTGTCCCCCGCACATCTTCCAATCTGAGAGACACATTGCCATTGATAAACTCCTCTACAAACAGTTGTGTTCTGTGTCTGTAGTTTTTATCCTGATTCTCCAGATGATCACGTCCCTCCTTGTATAAGTGCACAGAGGAGTCGAAACTTGTCCTGAACCATCTCACCTCCACACCCTCTCGTGGCAGGTCTGTGGAACACTTACAGTCCACGACAACATCCGAACCAGCAATGGCTGAGACAGGGAGGGCCGGGCCACTGACTGTGAATCTCTCTGTTTAATAACAAACAATGGATACAGTTAGGATTTTCAGTCACTGACTCAGACAAACTCTGTCAATGGACACTCACTGACATATCAGTTAGTTCTGACATAAAGTATTGGTCACACTTTTTACCACCTCAAATAAACTGACAATTGACATGAGGGAACCTGTGAGATATAATAATTCTTCAAGAAACTTGGCAGCAAATCTCTCAAACTGTCAGGTCAGGTTAGCCCATCAGGTGCTCTCTCACAGGCTAAAAGGTTGGAGACATTGGCTGTAAATTCATCTGAAGCTTGTAAATAGTTCTCTGTTACAGACAGAGGTGTCAACTGGGTTCAGTTAGTCCCACTGTGGCTCTAAATCTGAAGTTGTGGGTCCAAACTTCATATCAGGACTGAGCTCACAATCTAGGCTGACACTCCAGGATAGTGTTGGGGGAGCACTGCATTGTCACAGGTGCTGTCCTTCCCATGAGACATTAAACCAAGGTCCTGTTTATGTGACAGTAAAAATCCCGTGGCTCTACTCGAAAAGAGAAGGGAACCTGCACTTCACAGTAAGAAACGCTTTGAGATGTTTCGATACTATATTCTCAAAATACTCCATGAAGAAATGTTTACTGATCTCAGTTGTAATCAGGTTAACTATAATTTGAGATCTTGTGTCCCTTTGTTTTACCAGAGGGAAGAGTTTTCCACAAGTTTTCAACATGACAATTCCCTTCACTGTGATGAACACCTCAATCAGATTCCGCCTTTAAACCTCCTCAGCTCTGAGGAATATAACCTAAGTCTAAACAGCCTCTCAACACAGCTAAACCACTTCATCGCAGGTATTAACCTCGTGCGTCAGCTTCTGAAGATTGGCTGCCCAAACCTCAAAATCATAGCTTCAGTTAACAGCACTCTGTATAAAGTCCTCAATGTATATTCCTCTTCTTATAAAGATCATCATTAGTCTCACCGATTGCTTTCTGAACTCGAAAAGTAGATTTCAACAACTTAGCATAGGAGCAGGAGGAGGTCATTCAGCCCCTCGAGCCTGTTCTGCCATTCTATTTGATCATGGCTGTACTGTTCCTCAACTCCACTTACCCGCCTTTTCCCCATATCCCTTGATCCCCTTACCTAACAAATATCTATCCACCTCAGTCTTCCAAGACTCCTTTTCTCATTTACTGGAACATTTGCCCACAAAATACACAGTCAATTAGCTTTATTCTGGGAAACTCTTTGAGACATTTCAAACACACAATAAATAATAATAATAATCCATTCATTTGATATAGAGACTCATCACATCTTTGAGAAGTCTCAAAGCGTTTCACAGAATATTGAATAAAGTGAATTGACTGTATGTTTTGTGGGCGAAGAAAGCGGCAGCCGATTGCACACAGCAGCGTCCCTCAAACAGTCATGGATTGAGTGACCAAATTATTATTATTTAAAGAAATAGGGCAATACCAAATGCAAGGATTATTATTATTATTATTATTATTAAGATTAGCAGCAGTCAGTGTGTGAATCACACTCACTCCCAGCCACTGCTTTCAGCAGCTCTCCCTTTACCTTCAGCAATTTAACACCAACAGAAATCAAACAGATGCAATGTGTTTCCTTACCAGTCAGTGAGAGGGGAAGCACAAGCCATAGGACCTGAATACCGTGTTTCCAGCTCATCTTCTCGGACCTTCACAATGAGATCACAACTGGTGATAACACAGCAAATCAGATCATTACACATAGAGATTTGTGATTACTACATATTCATACTACATATTAATACTACATACTACATACTACATATATACAAGTTCAATTCCAGGCAGGGCGAAACCTTGGGCAAGTTTCCTTACTCCACACAGAGCCTAATAATAATCCCTCCAAAAAACNAAAAAAAACAATAATTAAATTGGTCATTTTCAATCTATGACTGTTTGTGGGACATTGCTGTGCGCAATTGGCTGCCGCGTTCGCCCACAAATATACAGTCAACTCACTTTACAGTATATTCTGTGAAGCGCTTTGGGACGTCCTCCCGACGTGAAAAAGCGCTATATCAAATGCAAGGATTATTTATTTATTTATTATTTATCTGTCAACCTGGCTCAGTTAGTAGCACTCCCACCTCTGACTCAGCATACAGTCTATGCTGACATCCAACGCAGTACTGGGGGTGTACTGTTTTGTTGGAGGTGACGTATTTCGAATGAGACATCCCACCTGTCGAGGTGACCCAAGGTACCATCTGCCCCTCCCAGGGCGCTATTTGAAAAGAGAAGGGAGTTTCCCATGGTGTTCTGGCCAACAATCCCCCAAATAAAATTGATCACCTGTTTCATTGCTGTTTGTGGCATTTTGCTCGTGCGCAATTGTGCTGCCGCATTTGCCGGCATATACACAGTCACTCCATTTCACAGTAAATCCTGTGAAGCACTTTCAGACATCCTTCTGATATACTGTAAAGTGAATTAACTGTATTTTGTGGGAGAAACGGGGCAGCCAATTGCGCACAGCAGTGTCCCACAAACAGTTGTGGATTGAATGAGCAAATCACTGATATTAATTTTGGAGGGGATTATTATCCCCGGAAAGCGATCTGCCAATTGATTACTTACTGCTAGGTAACCAGAGGCATAAGGAAACTCGACTAAGATATATGATTGTACCAAATCTGATCACTGTCTAATAACAGAAAACAAAATCAGGTCGTTACTAAACCTACCATTTGAGAAGGTGCAAGCGATCTCTCTGGCTCACCTGGTACTTGGGATTGCACATGGATTGACTGTGTATTTTGTGGCAGTCAATTGTGCACAGCAGTGTCCCTAAATTTAATACAATTTAATTTTGAAATTAAATTAAAATTGAAGTGAATTCCATGTGAGAGCTTTGGATTAGAGAAGATCAATAAAAGGTTATACTTTCATTTGGATAGTAGGCGGCAGTGAAATACCAACTGTGAAGTCTTTCACTGCACTTAGATCTGTGTAAATACAATCAAGCCTGTTTTCAGCAACCACACAGAGACTCGACCAAAGTGGCCTTCATGTAATTACGGTCTTTGAGTAAGGGTTTGTTGGATCACTGACTGGGCTGGAAACTTTAAAAAATTCCATGAGCCAAACATTTCCACACACAGCGAGTAGACTTTACCAACACCGCCTCACCAGTGAGATGGGAAGCTGTGAGTTTATAACGTGAGCGTTGGTAAATGTGCTAGGAGTCTAGCGGGAGTCTATACGTGGGCTGGTGGAAATTAATAAGGTGTTACCAGTGAGTTATAATAATAATAATACTTGCATTTGACATTGCATATATTTGGATATTTGTAAATTGGATTGACTCTGTATTTTGTGGCAGCCAATTCCGCACAGCAGAGTCCCTAAATTTAATACAATTTAATTTTAAATTTAAAATTCACTTAGAACTGGTCACTGCACACACTCACAGGGCTAAAAAAAAGAGTGGCTGCTGACTGCATTAGACAAGTGGTTGCTGAATAGAGGTGATTTACTGTGGAAGAACAGTCAGGACTGCTGCAGAGTGGCTGTTGACAGCAGGTGGTTGCTGAATAGAGGCGGTTTCTTCAACAGGTCTGACTACTTCTGTACAATAATTGGGTGGTGCTGTAATACTGGCTGTAAACGGCAGGGGAGCGCTAGATGTACCTTTTCACCAGCCTGTGAGAAAGGGTCTGCAGTTAGCGAGATCAGAGGCAGATCCCAAAGCTGCCGGGATAGGTTTGTACATTGAACGACTGTAATAGACGCCAAGCAACCAGCCCTGCCCGTCTCCTGTCACAGCCTTTCTTCCCTTCCTATGTGATGATATGTTGCTGAGTCCTGTGAGGTTTTGATTGTGAGAGTGCTCGCCTCGCTAGCGAGAGAACCTGGGTTCGATTCCCCACAGGGCGAAATGTTTCCTTACTCCACACACACACACACACACACCTCTGTTTACCCAGCAGTAAGTAGGAACCCGGTTGTTAGTCGATTGGCGGATCACTTTCCCCGGGTTAATAAACACTTAAAAAAAATGTGATCACACAATCCCCGACTGTTTGTGGGACGCTGCTGTTCGTAATCGTCTGCCCCGTTTCGCTCACAAACTATACAGTCAATTGTGACGTCTCGAAGATGTGATAAGGTGCTGTATCAAATGCAAGGATTATTATTATTATTATTCAGCGCTTAGACATCCAGGGGTAGCTGATTAATGTGTGGTGATAGACATGGGTTCCCTGTTCTGACAGCAGGAGACCAGCGAGAGACTTGTTACCTCTGTTGCTAATCTCCCACCACAGATCCCAGATCACACACCCAACAATGCAACATGACTTATTTGCAGCGTGAGCCTGATTTTAATCACTTATGTATTTAATTATTCTGTTCTGTTTACCATCTAACTGACTATCTGTCTGTCTCCCATCAGTTCATCCATCCGTCCATCACACCAGCCCTTGCCTGGCTCCGCTGGCTTCCAATCATCAAACGGATCGACTTCAAGATCCTCTCATTCGTTGTCAAATCCCTTCATGCTCTCGCACCTCCCGACCTCTCCGACCTGCTTCCCCCCCACCCACTCCACCACCCACTCACTGCCTCCGCTCGGCGGCTGCAGCCTCCTGTTTGTCCCTCGTGCCATCCACTCCACCATCAGTGGCCGTGCCTTCAACCACTTTGCCCCGAAACGCTCTCTCACAATCCCTCCGTCTTGCCCCCTCCTTCCCCACCTTGAAACCCCTTCTTTTTGATGGTGCTTACTGCCACTTTCCCCCTCCCTCTCCCCGTGGATCGTTGTCAGACTCCGCCAGTGTGAAGCACTCCGGGACCCTACCCCGTGCGAAGGACGCGAAATAAATGCAAGTTGTAGTTTTTGTCTCTCTCTGTCTCCCTATTTATCTGACAGTGTACTGAGCCACCTCACACTCCTCTTTATTTACCATACAGAGACCACATAGATAATGCACCACTGAAATAGCGAATCCAACAACAACAACAAATTACATTTATATAGCGCCTTTCACGTCAGGGGGACGCACAAGATGCTGATGTCCACTTCCTCCTCTGACCCCAAGCTCCCCTCATCCCTCCCTCTGCCACAATGTCGTGCAGAATTGAGCTGAGTCTGAACACACAATAACATTAGCAACCGATGCGGGAGGGGTACATTCCTGTAAACTGTAACTTGAACGTTAATTACTTTGACGCATTTCCTCTTTCTTGATATTTAAACCAGTTTGAGACACGAGGATGTTTATAGCAGTAAAATGGTTCTTTCCTCTTGCAATTGCAGTCACACCCTCCCCGAAATCTGGAGCAAACTGCAGATAAAGTCTCCTATTCTTCACCGCGAAGGTTAAAGGCAATTGTGAGGAGGCCTGGGAAGCAACAAGGGAAAGATTAGCAGCTGTGCCCCAAAACCCTTGTTCTTGACGTGTGTCTGTCAAGTAACAAATCATAGCGTATAAATATTTCTGTATGAGTTGGATTCTGAGGCCAACACTTCTAACAAAGCCCCCTCCAACATACAAAGCATCCCCACCACTTGTACCCCCACAACAACCAATTTCAACCTAAAAATTTTCTCCTACCCCGTGTGATCTTATAGTTTAAAGACAAAACATACTCACAAGTTAAGATGAGGTGGAATTTCACCTCAGCACATCATTAAAGCTCATATGTAAAACACCATCATCAAGATAATAATAATAATCCTTGCATTTGATATAGTGCCTCATCAAATCATTGAGACGCTTTACAAAAGCGCTTCACAAAATATTCTGTAAGGTAAATTGACTATATTTTGCTGGCGAAAGGATGCAGCCAATTGCATGCAGCAGTGTCCAACAAACAGTTGTGGATTGAGGAACCAATTTTTTTAAAAAGAGATTATTGCCCTCAGAAAGCGATCTGCCAATCGGCTAACAGTTGGATTCCTACTTACTGCTAGGTAAACAGAGACATGTGTGGAGGAAGAAAAGAAAGCCCAGGTCCCCTCGCTTGCGGGGCGAGTGATCTGACCATTATGCTACACGACTCCGCTGGACAAGCTAATGGACACTATTGTTCTCTGCCTTTCCTTTATATTTTGGTGGGAAAGGCTGTAGCTTAATATTTAGGACATTTTTGAAGTCCGCCACCTCCCATATCACAAACCTCTGTGGCCAGCTATGCGATGGAAAGCATGAAATGTGCTTGCGATTTAATAATGAGTTTGAAGTGATAATCACATCCAAACACTTTACCAAACATCGCTAATATCACCCGGTACTTTTCCCCTAGAATTTTACAATGTAAAAGCTGCCCCCACCCCATGAAGGCATTTTATCCCCTCTCCCACCGACTCCCCTTGGGAGTGTGTATGTAATGAATAAAATAGAGTTTAAATGTTGTAGAAACACATCTTTTACTTAAGAGTTTTATCATATTGTAAATATATTTTTTAAGGCGTTATATAAATGCAATTTGCTGTTGTTGTAGTGGTTGTTTTTGTTCTCAGTCAATGCCCTCCCCACTGCCTGCCTGGCCAGGGAAACTGCCGTCTCCACCGCCGGGAGGCACAGACTGCTTCCCGGCTGCAGGAAGTCACGACAAGTGGCTTGAGATAAGTGTGGAGGTTATTTAAGGAGCTGGAAAACACTGCATCTCCCTCAGAAAGGGCAGCGCTGAGAGAGAGAGAGAGAGAGAGCACCTCACAGCTCACCCCCACCCCCCCACCCCATGACAGGCGTGAAACGTGAGTAGTTTAATTCTATGAGTTTAACTCTCTGGTGAGTGCATTTCAGCCTGGACATAAGCTGCAAGAACCATTCACTGCCAGTGTTGTTATAATAATACTACTAATAATAATCCTTGTATTTGATATAGCGCCTTATTACGTCTTTGAGAAGTTTCGAAGCGCTTCATAAAATATACTGTAAAGTGGAGTGGCTGTATATTTTGTGGGTGAAACTGTTGTGCACAGCAGAGTCTCTCAAACAGTCGTGGATTGAAGTGACCAATTTTTTTAAAAGAATTATTACCCCCGGAAAAGTCATCCGCCAATCGACTAACAACCGGATTCCTACTTACCGTTGGGTAAACAGAGGCGTGTGGAGTAAGTAAACTTGCTCAAAGTTTCACCCTGCCATGAATCGAACAGGCGAGTGCTCTAACCACGGAGCTACAGGACTCCACTGGGTATTATTATAATAATAATCCTTACGTTTCATATTATCCTTCTCCCCTCTCACATGCCTAATAATAATCCCTCCAAAAAACCAAAAACAATAATTAAATTGGTCAGTTTCAATCTACGACTGTTTGTGGGACATTGCTGTGCGCAATTGGCTGCCGCGTTCGCCCACAAATATACAGTCAATTCACTTTACAGTGTGTTCTGTGAAGTGCTTTGGGACGTCCTCCCGACGTGAAAAGCGCTATATCAAATGCAAGGATTATTATTATTATTATTATTATTATTATTATTATCCTTATTATTATATTCTTATGGGAGGTGTCTCTCTATTGACACATGCTAGCTGTTATGTGCGTGTGTGTTTCTGTGTGTGTGTCATTTATGGTATTGTTAATAAGCTTCATATTAATATAATAATCATAATCCTTGCATTTGATATAGTGCCTTATCACGTCATCGAGATGTCTCAAAGATGTCCTTATCTTGTGAGCCAGGATTTACAGAACAAGCTGAAGGGCGTTCCTCAAACAGCCCTTTGATCTGGGTCCCTAATACAGCTAATGAGTCCCCAGCCTGGTGAGAGTGGGCGGTACATTAAGACTGGAATGTGCTACCTCCCCAGAGTATATGTGGTCAGAACATTGGATTCAGCCAATTACTGTATTTACATGTGGTGATTAACAATCACAAATCACAGTAACCCCTTAAAGGTTTATGGGTTGGGAGTGTGGGTACTATGGTTAATTCACAGCAGTCTGGGACACACCCCATTTGGGCATTTGATATAGCACCTTATCATGGTCTTCGAGATGCCTCAAAGCACTTCACTGGATACACTATAAATTGAATAGACCGTATATTTTGTGGGCGAAACATGGCAGCCAATTGTATACAGCAGCGTCCCACAAACCGTTGTAGATTGAAGTGAACCCTTTATTATTTTTTAAAGAGAATTATTACGCCCAGAAAAATGATCCATCACCAACTGACTAACAACCGGGTTCCTACTTACTGCTAATGGTAATGATAACAAGAATCCTTGCGTAGAGCCTTTCATGTCAGAAGGACGTCCCAAAGCACTTCATAGGATATTATTGTGAAGTACAGTGACTGTATTATATTTGTGGGTAAAAAGTGATGAGGAGGTGTTTAAACAGGATTAAGAAAGTAAACCCAGATCAATGTTTTCAAATACGGCAAGGCAACAGAACAAGTAGGCACGACTTCTTTGGCCAGCCGGGCATCTGATGCGTGCTGAAACCTATCACCATGCTTAAGAGTATCCAAACCAAACAGAGATTGCCATCAATTCCAGAGATATTTATTGGAATGGAATGCGCACTCTCTCCTTGTAGGGACACATCCTGCTTACAAAATTCCAGAGAGTATTAGGCACAGGTTGGCAAGAGCCAAGGCTTGGGGACACCACAGTATGCATTGGGGTAACTGCTGGAGTCTAACCAACATAAACCGCATAACTTGCCATTGATATCGGTGTCTGGCAAAATTTCCCACTTGCTTGTCCAGCTAGGACCACCCTACCCAATAGGGCTTTGGCTGCAAGGTTAACAGAAGCTGAATGGTACTCCCTGCCCCCATCCAAAACAAAACAACAATAAATTGGTCATTTTCAATACATGACTGTTTGTGGACATTGCTGTGCGCAATTGGCTGCCGCGTTCACCCACAAATATACAGTCAATTCACTTTACAATCTATTCTGTGAAGCACTTTGAGACATCGAGAAGACGTGAAAAGCGCTATGTCAAATGCAAGGATTATTATTATTATTATAGTGACTGGTCTGCCCTTCCAGGTCTTGCCAATGAGCCAGGCTGGGCTGTGCTGCCCTCAGAGGTGACCTGGAATACTGCGGACCTATCTGGCTCAGGAACTAGACTGGAGACCGTCACACAGGGCTGGGTTGATTCTAACATTTTGTTGACATCTTCCTGGGAGGTGGGTCTCCTTGGAGCCAGTTCAGCTCCAAAGAGATCCCATCCCCAAGGAGGATAGTCCTTCAGGTGTATGACGGGTAATGTCATGACAAATGCCAGCAAGTATTTATTTATCCAGACCACAATTAATGACCGGAACAAAGATGCCAGGTAAGATGATTGGGGTCAGCACACTGGAACTCATTGAACAAACTGTTCCATGCTGTAATCGGAAGACGTCGGGATCGAGATTGTGGATCTTTGCCTGATCTGGAATAATAATAATAATAATCCTTGCATTTGATAAGAGTGCCTTATCATGTCTTCGAGACGTCTCAAAGTGAATTGACTGTATAATTTGTCACTTTAGCAACCTTTTATATACAATACAAATAAAACTCTTGCCAACATTCACAGATTCCCTCAGATCCCAAATAGACTTACTCCTCTATCCGGCTGTGATGGACGAATTTCTAAATGTAATTATTATTAATATTAATTCATTAATTAATAATATTTACATTTGATACGTGTTATAACAACGTCTCAAAATGCCTCACAGGATATATTGTAACGTGCTGGGATTGTGTTTATTTGTGGGAGGATGGGTAGTCAGTTTGTGCATCGCAGTGTCTCACAAAGTCATGAAGTGGGCGATCAATGTTTTCATTTGGGAAATTGGGCCCCCGGGACATCAGAAAAGACTCCTTTCTCTTTTTGAATAGCACCGTGGGATCTTTAACATCTACCTGGACAGGTAGACAAGATCTCAGTAAATATCTCATCCAAAGGATGGCACCTCCGACAATGCATTGGTACCCCAGAACTGTGCAGCCGTATTAGCCTTTACAGTATATCCCGTGAAGCGCCTCGGGACGTCTCGATGATGTGATCAGTCGCTGTATCAAATGTCAGTATTATTATTTATTATAATTTTCCGACTCAGAGGGAAGAGTGCTACCAATTGAGCCAGGCTGACACCTGGAAGCTTCTTAAATAACATCTCAAGAGGAGGGCTATATGGTAAATATAACAGCTTTTATTTCGGTGACTTTTACAAAATAATTTCAAACTGACACAGGGACAGATGGCAGTGACCTGTTCAGAAAGAGCAGGTTTCTGCTCCACACAGTATCTCACAGTCTGCAAACAGCACGTCCCATCCCAGCTACACACAACTTATAATACAACTTATACATCAAATTATTTTCATTGTATCCCTGAATGACCAAAATGGAGTCCTGTAGCTCAGTGGTTAGAGCACTCGCTTTGCAAGCGAGAGACCTGAGTTCAATTCCAGGCAGAGGGCGAAACCTTGGGCAAGTTTCCTTACTCCACACAGAGCCTAATAATAATCCCTCCAAAACCAAAAACAATAATAAATTGGTCATTTTCAATCTACGACTGTTTGTGGGACATTGCTGTGCGCAATTGGCTGCCGCGTTCGCCCACAAATATACAGTCAATTCACTTTACAGTGTGTTCTGTGAAGCGCTTTGGGACGTCCTCCCGACGTGAAAAGCGCTATATCAAATGCAAGGATTATTATTATTAAAACGTGCCACTTCTGCAACTTTATTGCAACAGTTTGCAACACGATTTTATTTCTATGGATAAATATCAATGGACAAAGTTCACCCCAGTTGGTGGAAATAACATATCTGGAATCGTTTTCAATAGGTTCATATGATAATATAATGATGATAATAATCCGTGCATTTGATATAGTGCATTATCACGTCGTTCAGATGTCTCAAAGCACTTCACAGAATATATTGTAAAGTGAATTGACTGTCTATTTTGCGGTCGAAACACGGCAGCCAATTACACCCAACAGTGTCCTACAAACAGTCACTGAATTATTATTATTATTTCTTTATGAACTGTTTTAGATGAATTTCAGAATTCGAAATGAGAAATGTGTAAAAAGGTCAAAATAGAACATATTGCTGTGAGCTCAGGAAAATGCTGTTGGGAGAAATAATGGTAAAAATAAAATGGGATCAGCTTTTTTTGGTCTTGTCGCTTGGTCACAGTTGAATTTCCCAGTGAAGCAAAATGGAAATAGTCTATGCATGGACTATTCAAGTACAGACGGAAGTACATATATAGACAGTTATTAGTAACACTATCGGGTGCGACCAATAACATAATTGTCAGGATGGGACACATGTGAGCAGTGTTGATCAGGATGCAGTCTTGCAAAGTCGAGTTTATTTCCATTCAAGGCAGTTTCACTTCCAGGAAACACCTCAGATAAACACAAGCATCCTTCCCCTGCACGATGGGAGGTGAGGTCAACCACTTCTCACACAGGATGGGGCAAGGAGTTTTGACAATCATATATCAGATCGCTTTTCTGGGGGGAACTCTGGAATACTTTCCCTCATTCCCTCCGCCTTGTCCTCCCACACTCTCCTTTCTTCAAGTCCTGCCCGAAAACTTTCCTTTTTGCCCGTGGTTACGGTCACCTCCCCACCTCCCGACAACGGTCTCAGAGTCATGTTCCCCCACTGTTAAGCACTCTGACGCCACCCTGTGTGGAAGGCGCTATATAACAAGTTGTTGTTGTAATAATTCCTTAAAAAAATTATAATAACAAATAATTAGTCTCTAAATCCACGACTGTTTGTGGGACGCTGCTGTGCGCAATTGGCTGCTGTGTTTCGCCCACAAGATATACAGTCAATTCACTTTACAGTATATTCCGTGAAGCACTTTGAGACCTCTCAAAGACGTGATAAGGCGCTAAATCAAATGCAAGGATTATTATTATTACTATCAGATGGCATGAACCCAGGCAGACTTGGCTAACAATGTGAAGGGAAGCAAAGGTACAGGGAATCGGGATTAGAGTGTGGACTAGACTGTGTAATGTAGTGCTTAGCACCCAAAAACCTGGGTTCAATTCCCGGGCAGGGCAAAACGTGGGGCAAGTTTCTTTACTCCACACACAGGCTTCTGTTTACCCAGCAGTAAGTAGGAACCAGGTTGTTAGTCAATTGGTGGATTGCTTTTCTGATCCCTTTTTAAAAAAAATGTAAATACAAATGTGGTCACTCAATCCATGAGTGTTTATGGGACGCTGCTGTGCGCAATTGGATGCCGGTTTTTGCCCACAAAACACACAGTCAATTCACTTTACAGTATAGTATAATAATAATCCTGCATTTGATATAGCTCCCTATCAGATGAGACATCCCAAAGCATTTCTCAGAAGACACTGTGAAATGAATTGACTGTGTATTTTGTGAAGTGCTTTGAGACGTCTCAAAGACAAGATAAGGTGCTATATCAAATGCAAGGATTATCATCATTAATATTATTATTATTATTAAGGCTTGTTGTACTACTATTACGTAAGGCACTAATGTGGGCCCCTCATGTCAGGGGTTGCCAGGATGGTTGACTTGGGAATGGGAAACGGCAAACTGGCCCCATGGGGAGTTCCCGGTTGCGATAAAAAGGAAAAAAAACATGAATCCTGCAAACTGCTAATGGCCCAGGAATGTCGGACCTGCTTCCCTGGCCAATCAGCTCCTGAAAGGGAACGATAAGGCAGCATTCTGGGGGGTGGCCTCAATTGTGTTCAGTTCACATTGAGCCATATTGACGGGGGGGGGGAGGAAGTAATAAGGGTGTGTATGTGTGTATGTGGGGGGAGGGTGTGGTGGTTGTCTTGTTTCTGTATATGACATGTATATATATTGTTTCTATATATATATATATATGGATCCTGTTGTGCAGTGATGAGAGCACCTGCCTCGCACGTGAGAGGACCTGGGTTCAATTCCCGGGCAGTGTGAAACCTTAGGCAAGTTTCCTTACTCCTCACACAAGCCTCCGTTTACCCAGCAGTGAGTAGGAACCCGGTTGTTTGTCGATTTTTGCTTTTCCGGGCTGGGGATAATAATTCCTTCAAAAAAAAGAAAATAATAATATATCGGTCGCTTCAATCCACGACTGTTTGTAGGACAGCGCTGGGCGCAATTGGCTGCCGTTTTTCACCCACAAAGTACACAGTCAATTTACTCGGCAGTATATTGTGTGAAGGGCTTTGGGACATCTGAATGACTTGATAAGGTGCTATGTCAAATGCAAGGATTATTATTATTTTAGCTGTACGAAACAATACAATAAAAAAGCCACTGATTTTCACCAACAATTAATTCTTTCAAACTAAAAATACGTAGGGCTTCTGTTAGAAGGTGCTGTTAGCGACAGATCACATTTGTTCTGTGCATCCGAATATTTCCTGGTGGTTTTTCTCCAAGTGCGTCCTTTACCAGATCACATTACCTCACTGACATATCTGAGCAAATGATTCAGTTCCCATCAGTGCTGGTAGAGTTCATTTAAACTGGATCTTTGTACAAATCTCTTACGTGGCTTTCGAATTCAAGATCCTCATCCTCACCTATAAGGCCATTCACGGCCTCGCTCCCTCCTACCTCTCCGACCTACTATCCCCCTACCTACCTGCCCGTACCCTCCGTTCCTCTGGCTCCGGTCTGCTCCACATCCCCCGCCCTAACCGCCCTACCATCGGTGGCCGGGCCTTCAGCCTCTCAGCCCCGAGGCTCTGGAACTCTATCCCCAGTGCCTTCGCCGCTTCCTCCCTCTCCTCCTTCAAGGCCGGTCTCAAGACCTTTCTCTTTGACCGTACCTTCAGCTCCCCTCTCGACTCTCTACCCCCTCCTCGCTCCCTCCCTTCCCTCCCCTCACCCTGACCATTTCCCCAATGCTCGGGTCCTGACCCAACTGTACAGCGCCTTGGGACGTCCTCCCGACGTGAAAGGCGCTCAATAAATGGAATCTTGTTGTTGTTGTTGTTTTGACGCGGATTTTGACACAGTATTGTACTTGCACAAAGTTACTTCCCAGCCTAATCCCAGGAGGAACCAAATACGTCCCCAAATCATGTCAGGCAAGCATTAATATTTTACTTACTCCCCTTTAACTCCAGGACGCAACCCCACGTGAAGGTTGCTGTATAAATGCGAGTTGTTGTTGTAGCTTAGTTTGTTTTACAACACCACCACCACCTTCCATTTACATGGTGCCTTTCAGGTCAGGAGGACATCCCAAGGCGCTGGACAGTCAGGGATCCGCATCCGAGCTGGTGGTTCAGATCAGGAGGGGTGGGGGTAGCAGGGTGACCGAAGGCACGGTCGAAGAGAAGGGTCTTGAGAAGGACCTTAAAGGAGGTGAGGCAGTGGACGAGGTAGAGGGACTGTCGGTTGGAGTTCCAGAGGGTGGGAGCAGAGAGGCTGAGGAATTATAATAATAATAATAATCCTTGATTTGATATAGCCACTTAATTTTTTAAGGAATTATTACCCCCGGAAAAGCGATCCGCCAATCGACTAACAACTGGGTTCCTACTTGCTGCTGGGTAAACAGAGGCGTGGAGTAAGGGAACTTGCCCAAAGTTTTGCTCTGCCGGGAACCAAACCCAGGTCCTCTCGCTTGTGAGGCAAGCAGTCTAACCACTGAGTTACAGGACTCTATTTGTGTATAAACTGTGCTTGTATTTTTCAGCACCACGATGACTAGATTCTGCACGTCCACCACAACTTCAGGTCTGGGGAAGATGTCAGATCTGCTTCACCGACACAAACACCCGATCTTCTGTTCAGTAAGTCACGAAAGCTGCTCATAAGGAACTTTGGCCTTTTATTCCAGATATCCCTTTTTAATAAAATTAAACACTCCAGGGGTATATTATTTACATTATTTTGTAATTATAATAATAATAATCCTCGCATTTGATACAGTGCCTTATCAAGTCATTGAGACATCTAAATACGCTTCGCAGGATATATTGTAAAGTGGATTGACTGCGATGGGTGAAATTTTAAGATCATCCATAACCTTGTTGTAACTACTCTTCGCAATTGTAGTGTTTTGTATTGTAGTCCTCCTAACATTGTAGTGTAGCACCAGCAGCATTTACACTGTTATAATAACAATAATCTTTGCATTCAATATAGCGCCTTATCACGTTTTTGAGACATCTCAAAGTGCTTCATAGAATATACTGTAAAGTGAATTAACTGCGTATATTGTGGGTGAAATGCGGCAGCCAATGGCACACAGCAGCGTCCCATAAACAGTCGTGAATTGAGTGACCAAATTATTATTTTTAAAAAATTATTGAAGAGATTATTACCCCTAGAACAGCAAACCGCCGATCATCTAACAACCGGGTTCCTACTTACAAGCTCGGTATACAGAGGTATAAGGAACCTTGCGTAACATTTCGACCTACCCGGGAATTGAACCCAGGTCCTCTCGCTTGTGAGGCGAGTGCTCTAACCAATGAGCTACAGGATTCTACGAGATTGTTAACCAAAGCGGAAGAATTGTACTGTGACTTTGCAGGCAAACACATGGCCTGCAAATTGTGTACAGCAATGTCCTACCATCAGCCACAAAGTGATTGAAGGATTCTATTATAATACTAGACCGTTACAAGTGCGGAGCATGTTTTCCAAATGGAATTCTTGGTGAACTTTCCCGGAGATTAACTCTGGTGGAATGTGGGCCATGAATCTGATCGGAGGTGAAATGCAAAGCAGGGAAGGGAGTGAAACAGCGAATAAGAAAATGAGCTGGGAAGCGAAAGAGAAGCAGAGGGCAAGGAATAAGAGGCTTAGAGGTCGAAGGAATGCAGGGGAATGTTCCAACTTTCAGTCTGTGGTGGTTGTGGTGAGGGTAGAGGGTGGGGTGGGGGTTGGGGTGGGGATGTGTGTGTGGGGAACTGAATGGAGCATTCGAATCTTAAGGCTCTCTCAGCTCTCAATGCCTCAGAATGAGCTCCTTAAGCGGCATGGAGTCCTGTAGCTCAGTGGTCACAGCGCTCGCCTTGCAAGCGAGAGGACCTGGGTTCGATTCCCGGGGCGGGCGAAACGTTGGGCAAGTTTCATTACTCCACACATATTCCCCTGTTTATCCAGCAGTCAGTAGGGACCGGCTGTCAGTCGATTGGCGGATCATAATAATCCCTTCAAAATAAATCCCCCCAAAAATTATTTGGTCACTCAACCCACGAATGTTTGTGGGATGCTGCTGTGCGCAATTGGCTATCACGTTTGGCCCACAAAATATACAGTCACTACAGTTTACAGTATAGTCTGTGAAGCGCTTTGAGACATCGTGAAGACATGATAAGGCGCTATATCAAATGCAAGGATTATTATTATTAATAATACTGATTCACGGGCAATGTATTCGGAATAATTTCAGCCAAATAGAGCAGTGATTAAAATCATCAGGCATTTTATTGTCGCACTCTCAGGTGACTGACTGACTGGCAAAATTGGCTCTGTGGACACCGCCATGGGTAAGGGATACTATATAAATGCCAGTTGTTGTTGACTGACTTTCTGACTGACTGACAGTTACTACCAAGATGGTGGATGTAAAATGGTTCTATTACTATCAGTTTCGTATCCATCATATAGATAGGTGCATGTGTAAAATATCTTGTGTCCTGTAGTGTATCGGTTACAGCACATGCCATGCAAGCGAGAGGACCCGAGTTCGATCCCCAGGTGGGGCGAAACCTCAGGCAACTTCCTTACTCCACATGTCTCTATTTACCTAGCAGTAAGGAATCCAGTTGTTAGTCAATTGGCGGATCAGTTTCCTGGATGGGGGTAATAATCCTCCCCCCAAAAATAGATTAAAAAATAATTTGGTCACTCAATCCACGACTGTTTGTGGGACAATTGGCTGCCGCGTTTCACCCATAAGGTACACAGTCAATTCACTTTACGGTATATTCTACAAAGTGTTTTGAATCACTTCAAAGACATGATAGGCGCTGTATCAAATTAATGGATTATTATATTATACAAAACTTACATCAGGATTCTGAGCTCATAATCCGAGCTGATGCCCCAGCACATTCCTGGGGGAGCGCTGTAATGTCAGAGGTATAGTTCTCCTTTTGAGTTGGTGTGTGAGTGTGTGTGTGTGTGTGTGTGAGTGTGCGGCCAGGTGTGTAATTGGTGCACTTGCTCCTGCATGATTGAGTGACCCGAAGTTCCATCTGGTCTTAAACTGCGAACCGCTTTGTCTTAAAATTAGAGATAATATTAATAATAATAATCCTTGCATTTGATATAGCGCCTTGAGATGACATTGAGACGTCTCAAAGGGCTTCACACAATATACTGTAAAGTGAATTGACTGTATATTTTGTGGGCCAAAACACGGCAGCCAATTGTGCACAGCAGTGGATTGAGTGACCAAATTATTATTATTATTTTTTAAGGAATTATTACCCCCGGAAAAGCGATCCGTCAATCGAATAACAACTGATTTCCTACTTACGGCTAGGTAAGCAGAGGCGTGTAGAGTAAGGAAACTTGGTCACTGTTTACCCTGCCCGGGAATTAAACCCAGGTCTCTCGCTTGCGAGACGAGGGCTCCAACCACTTTAGCTACAGGACTCCATGTTCTGCAGCACAGATATCCTTAAATTCAGCCTTCATTCAGAAGCTGCTTCTCTGCAGTTTTTAAACAGAAACTAGCTTCCAAATTGAGACACAGTTTAAGTATTTTCCAATCTCTGGTTTGCAAGACACAAAGGCCAAGTCGAGGTGGAATTGCCAGCCTCTGACAAACAGGTCTGTGTCTCGCTCCTGGGCGGGCCTCTCAGTATTGTGCACACACACTCACACAGACACAGACCTATTATCCCACTGGGAATGTGCTCCCACACAAAAGCCAGTGACAGACACATCTACAGCAAGGAGCTGCCTCTCCTCCCAATAACATCCTATTCCTGTCACAGAAACATGGCCATTTCCAAAGTGCATCACGTCATATCTTTGAAAACACAATGGTTTGAGGTTTAACCCTTGCCAGGCAGGATTAAAAAAATAAAATAATAATAATAATCCTTGCATTTGATACAGCGCCTCATCATGTCTTCGAGACATCTCAAAGCGCTTCACACAATATACTGTAAAGTGAATCGACTGTGTATTTTGTGGGCAAAACGCGGCAGCTAATTGCGCACAGCAGTGTCTGTCTCATAAACAACGGTGGATTGAAGTGACCAAATTATTATTTTTAAAACAATGTTTCTCAAGGAATTGTGAGTCTCGGTAAAGCCATGATCGACGGTTAAAGAACAGTAATGTCTAATTCTATTTTCTAATTGTCTCGCCGTATCCTCCCTCTGCCTCTGGTCTGGCCTCATTTACTGGGGGGTAGTTCCACGGAAGTTAGTCGGAGGGTGGGTGTGAGTCACAGCCGGGCCTGGTCTCTCCACACCTGGCTGCCATTCACGGCTGCCGTGTTTCACCCACAAAATATACAGTCACTTCACTTTATGGAATATTCTGTGAAGCGCTTTGAAACGTCTCGAAAACGTGATAAGGCCCTTCATCCAATGCAAGGATCATTTATTATCTAGCCTCTCTTGGTCCTGATTATATGTGGATAGAGCCATGGCAGTGTATACCCTCAGCGATTGAGAGGGCCTCTGATACAAGTGTGCGCCTCTCTGCTCCTTGTTGCTGCTGACCCAGTGGATAATCAGCTTCTCTTTAGCTGGGAGCTGACTCGCTGGCTACAGTTACACAATCCCGAGCCCTAGAGCAGAGGGTGTCTGAGCACAGGTCCGGCTGACACTGAATATTGCTGCCGAAATTCACCGTGTAACCGACGTGACTGATCGATTGTACTCGCTACATGTAAACGTGCTTATTAAAGCCTCCCTATGTAACCTACACTGAAGGTTTCACCTCCAGCGATTCCCAATCCAGACACTGAACACTAGCAGCGTTCAAAAACATTAGCTGCTTCTTCGCCTGCACATACACAACCACTGAACTTTACAGAAAACTCTGAAGTCTTTTGAGACGTTTGGAAGTTATAAGAATAATCCTCGCTTTTGATACAGCGCCTTATCACGCCTTCAAGGCGTCTCAGAATGCTTCACAGAATATGTCGTAAAGTGTAGTGACTGTGTATTTTGTGGATGAAACGCGGCAGCCAATTGCGCACAGCGGGGTCTGTCCCACAAACAGTCGTGAATTGAGTGACCGCACTTAAAAAATTTTTTGAAGGGTTTATTACCCCCAGAAAATACAATCCGCCAATCGACTAACAACCGAGTTCCTACTGACTACTAGGTAAACAGAGGCGTGTGTGTGGAGTAAGGAAGTTTGCCTATTGTTTCGTCCTGCCCGGGAATCGATTCCGGATCCTTTGCTCGCGAGACGAGGTCTCTAACCACTAAGGACTCCATAGGTAACACTCTGTATTATAAGTGCTACATCACATGCAAAGATTACTATTTATTTTAAGTTAAAAAGGACAGCAAATAAATGTACAGATGCTGAGAGGTGTGTTGGGCTCAGTGTGTGTGTGTGTGTGTGTGCTATGTGTGTGGTGTGTGTATGTATGGTGTGGTGTGTGTAGTCTGTGTGTATGTGTGGTGTGTATGGTGTGGTGTGTGTGGTCTGTGTGTGTGTTACACCCAGTAATGCACACTTCTGTCACCTCTCAATGAAGAGACGACAGTAGCTTTTAATCTGTTGTTGTAAATCTTGATCCTGGCTGAAAGCCTCTCAGCTGAGACCCAGGTGAATGTGTGCTGTGACCAGTCTGGGATGTTAGGATGGTGACAGCTCTGATTGTACACAATCGCTGGTTCTGGTATCTCCAGAAAGGCGTAAATTACGTCAGAGCAGATGTAAGTAAGCCTTGTACTACCCCCACCCTCTGGAACTCCATCCCACAGTCCTTCCGCCTCACCCCCTCCCATGCCTCCTTCAAGACCTGTCGCAAGACCCCCCTCTTTGTCTGTGCCTTGAATCACCCTCGTAGCCCTACCTTCCCCGCCCTCCACCCCTCCAGATCCCAACCACCAGATGGGGGCAGATCTCTGACTGTCCAGTGCCTTGGGACATCATTTGTTGTTGTTGTTGAACAGTTTGAAAGGCCCCTTTACAATTGTGTGAACAAAACTGCCATGTTTGTCTACAAATACACAGTCACTATTCTGTACAGTGGATCCTGTGTATAAATGCAATTTGTTGAAGCTCTTGTGAAACACTTTAAGATTTACTTCTGTCAAGAAAGGCGCTTTATCGAATTCAAGGATTATTATTTATTTGATACGTAGGTTGTAATTTTGTTCCTCAGCGCGGTAAAGGGTTAAGATAATGCAGAATCATACACAGGAGTCTGTGTTATTGTACGATAATATAATAATAACAATAATAATCCTTGCATTTGATCCTGTGCCTTCTCACGTCTTCGAGATATCTCAAAGTGCTTCACAGCGCTTGTAAAGTGAATTGACTGTATATTTTGTGGGCGAAACATGGCAGCCAATTGTGCACAGCAGCGTCCCGCATACAGTCGTAGATGACCAATTTATTATTATTATTTTTTGAAGAAATTATTACCCCCAGAAAAGCGATCCGCCAATCGACTAACAACCGGGTTCCTACTTACTGCTGGTAACCAGAGGTGTGTGGAGTAAGGAAACGTGCCCAAAGGTTTCGCCCTGCCTCATATAGCGCCTTGCTACATCGTTGAGATATCTTAAAGCACTTCACAAAATACAATGTAAAGCGGATTGACTGTGTGTTTTGCTGGCATTTTGAAAGAACTATGTCTTCAGTCCCACTCCCCTGTACAACCCCCTCGAACTCCCCCCCCCCCCCCCCCCCACACACACACTTATATTTTTCCTTCTCAAATATTTGACCAATTCCCTTTCCAATCCTATTATATATTCGGCTTCAACTAACAATTTTGGTCTCATGTTCCATGTCCTAAATAACCATCTGCGTAAAAAAATCTAACCTCTTCCTTCTCTTTGATAATGATCTTAAATTGATGCCCTCTGGTTCCCAACTCAGAGACCAGTGGAAAGAATTTCTTCCTATTTATTTTATCAAACCCCCCACACTCTCCCCTTCCACCTCCCCTCCTCAAATCTCCTCTACTGCAGTTGACCACAAGTCACTGGGGACTGGATTTCTGCTTTGAATGGGAAACACTGGTGAGAATAGGAAGTGGGGTAGACTTGTGTGTGGTTTGTTTTGTAAATGGGTGATTGGCATCTGTAACAGACGACCGGCACAGGTGGTGAAACGAGGAACTATAATGGGCTTCAAGAGGGAACTAGACACGTTTCCTGTCAACCTAAAGGCTATTTGATTTAGAGATAGACACATGGAAAATATCTTGTAGGAAGCTGGACTGACTGATAGTTTACTAACTCTTCTGATGTTACTGTGACTCGTGGCATTAACTCAATCCTGTCTTAATACTGCTTCCCCCCCAACCAACACACACATCCCTATTCACAAAGCCAATCTCTCAGGATTTCCTCCCCACTCCCACTTTACAGTAAATCGTGTTAAGCACTTTGAGACATCCTCCTGACGTGAAAGGCACTATACCAAATGCAAAGGTTATTTAATTGTGTTCCTGGATCTTTAACATCCACCTGAATCCATAGATTGGGCCTTGGTTGCATGTCTCAACAACAACAACTTGCATTTATATAGTGCCCCTCATGCAGGGTAGTGTCCTAGGGAGCTTAACTGCTCTGGGACTCCACCCTACCCAAAGGAAAGTACCAGCTGTTCCTCCTTCCCATGTATCTACATCCCAGGAAAGTTGTACAAAAATCTCTCGTAACTTTGTTCTACAATAAATTTCCATTTCACCCATTTGCTTCTTTCTTGCATAGAAACGATGGCTGATGAAAGTGACTGTTATCCACTTTGTGCCAGTTGGAAATGGCTTTTTCCTTGTGTTGCAAAATACTGACTTAAATTATTCTCCCCAAAATATATAGAAAACTATTGACTAAGAAGAGAAGGAATTCCTCCCTCTCTGTCATGGTCTAATAGAGGGCGTTCAGAATGGTTGCCCAAATAAAACAATTGCTCTTTCACACAATGAGTCTGTTCAAGGCCATTTCCCTCTATTGGAATGCACAATGGGAGTGTCATGGCAAGCTGCCTGCCCGCTGCTTGTCCAGCGAGGACCACCCTACGCGTTAGGGCTTTGGCTTGCAGGGTTAACAGGAGCTGAGTGGGATGACCCCAGTGACTGCTCTGCCCTTCTAGGTCCTACCAATGAGCCAGGTTGGCTATGCTGTCGTCTGCAGTGCCCTGGAATACTGTGGACCCACCTGGTTCAGGCACCAGACTAGAGAATGTCGCAGAGGCCTGGCTCAATCCCAACTTTCCGTTGCCAAACATAATAATAATCGTTGCATTTGATACAGCGCCTTATTAAGTCTTCGAGACATCTCAAAGCTCTTAACAGGATATTTTGTAAAGTCAAATGACTGTATAGTTTGTGGGCACGGCAGCCAATTGCGCACAGCAGCGTCCCACAAACAGTCGTGGATTGAAGTGACCGAATTATTATTATTTTTCTATGAAGGAATTATTACCCCTGGAAAAGTGATCCACCAATCGACTAACAACCGGGTTCCTGCTGACTGCCGGGCAAACAGAGGCGCGTGTGTGGAGTAAGGAAACCTGGCAAACATTTTGCTCTGCCCGGGAGTCGAACCCAGGTCTCCCGCTTGCGAGCCGAGCGCTCTAACCACTGAGCTCCACAATGTCACCTCGGAGCCAATTCAGCTCCAAGGAGACCCTTCCAACCCCCCACCCACCCGAGGAGGATACAGTTGGCATAGGGAGTGTGTGTGTGTGTGAGTGTGAGTGCAGTGACGGGTTGTGCCGATAGGGGGCGCGGCTGTGCTGCGCTGTGCGGTGCAGTGAAGTTGGGACTCGGTGGAGGGCTCAGGACTGTGTGTGAGTGTCTCACTGTTTGGAGACACTTCCCAGAGCCGCTTCACCTGAACCCTCTCCCGACAGAGCCTCACCAGAGGCAGTGGCGACAGAAGTACTTCCCCCTCAGCCGCCAGAGGGGAATAGTCTCTGTGACAGAGTGAGAGCTGAGCCGCAGTGACCCTCAGCAGCAGCACAAAAAGTGGCAGAAAAGTTTTGTGGAAAGTTTTCAACTTCGATTGTTCTGCCATCGGGACAACGACTCATCGCTGAGAGGCTTTAGGAATAAACCATTGGGGACACAGGTAAGTCTGAGATGGTGGGGGGTGTTATCCTGGGGGGGAAGGGGGGGAAAGGGAGAAATTATCATTCATAACATTTTAATGTGTATTTTGAACCTTCAGGGAATTCTCCCCAGTCTTAGGTTTAAGGATCATCTGTGTTTTCCCCAAAATAAGAATCAGAAACGTTACAGAGAGAGAAATTGATGGGTTTCATCTTATTTATGAAGGTTTTCTTTTGAGATTAAGCCTGAATTTAAGCACTTGCCACAATTCTTTTAAACAAAGTGGATTAAAACACAGACCGGACTAAAGTGAGATTTCAGTGTGTTGTAAATTGCACAGAAAGTTGGGTTGTTCCATGTGTCGATCGGTGGATCACTTTTCCGGGGGTAATAATCCCTTCAAACAAGTAATAATCAATAAATATAATAATAATAATCCGGTCACTCAATCCATCTCTGTTGGTGGGATAACACTGTGCGCAATTGGCTGCCGAGTTTTCCCTCATTCAATTCACTTTACAGTATATTCTGTGAAGCTCTTTGAGATGTCTCGATACGTGATAAGGCGCCATATCAAACACAAGGATTATTACAGGGTTATTATTGCGTGAAGAAGTCTGATCAATGTATTTTGACGTGCTCTCTGTACGCCTGCTCGTGACTGGGGCACAGTTGATTCTCTGAAGTCTGTTGTAGAGACTGAGGATTGCTTGGAGCTCTGTCAGAGGAGACTTAGCCTTTAGTTTCCCCACTGCCACTCTCCCTCCCCCCTCTCACCTCAATCCCATTCCCAGAACTGAGCTTCAGGAGACAGGACAGTAAGTAAACTGGAGCGTTTGCACAGTAACTAGGCACCTTTTATCGCAAGCCTCTGTATGACACAACAGTAATAATAATCCTTACAGTTGATATAATAATAATCCTTGGTTTTGATATAGCGTCTTATCATGACTTTGTGACGTCTCAAAGCGCTTCATAGGATACAATGTAAGGTGAAGTGACTCTATATTTTGTGGGTGAAACGCCTGAAATCTCTACAAACATATGCTCCCAAAAAGATAGTTTGGGAGGAATTTTACTCGGGTCTCCAAGAAACAACTTTATAACCGATCCCCTGTTTGATTCACGTGCCTCACCAGTTTTGATCAGAAATAAACATGGATTTAAAAAAAATGTAAAATACTTTTTGAGTGAATGGCTCTGCCAGAAGGGTGAAACGTGTGTGATCGATATATGAGGGCAGAGGCTGTGGAGTCCTTTAACGTATTGTTTAGAACACTCACCTTGCAAGCGAGAGGATCCAGGTTTGATTCCTAGGCAGGGGTGAAACCTTTGGCAATTTTCCTTATTCCACACACACGCCTCTGTTTACCTAGCAGTAAGTAGCAACCTACAACAACAACAACAAGATTCCATTTATAGAGCGCCTTTCACGTCAGGAGGACGTCCCAAGGCGCTGGACAGTTGGGTCAGGACCCGAGCAGGGGGGAAATGGTCAGGGTGAGGGGAGGGAAGGGAGGGAGCGAGGAGGGGAGCTGAAGGCACGGTCAAGAGAAAGGTCTTGAGACCGGCCTTGAAGGAGGAAAGGGAGGAAGCGGCGAAGGCACTGGGGGATAGAGTTCCAGAGCCTCGGGGCTGAGAGGCTGAAGGCCCGGCCATCGATGGTAGGGCGGTTGGGGCGGGGGATGTGGAGCAGACCAGAGCCAGAGGAACGGAGGGTACGGGCAGGTAGGTAGGGGGATAGTAGGTCAGAGAGGTAGGAGGGAGCAAGGCCATGAATGGCCTTGTAGGTAGTTGTTAGACGATTGGCGGATCACTTGTTTGGGAGTGATAATCCCTTCATAAAAAAAATTATAATTTGATCACCCAATCCACGACTATTTATGGGCTGCTGTTGTGCGCAATTGGCTGCCGTGTTTCACCCATGAAATATACAGTCAATTCACTTAACAGTATATTCTGTGAAGCGCTTTGAGACGACTCAATGACGAGATAAGTGAGTGACAAATTATATTTGGGGGATTGTTGGCTAGAATAGTGCCATGGATTCTTTAACGCTCTCTGAACAGACAGACAGAGCCTTGGTTTAACGTCTCCTCCGAAGGACGGCACCTCTGACTATCCAACACCCCCCCCAGCACTACATTGGAACATCAGCTTAGACTATACGATTCCAAGCCTGATGTGGGGCTTGAACCCACAACTTTCTGACTTAGAGACAAGAGCACTACCATTGAGCCAGACTGACACTCTGAGCCAGCAAGTGGTATATCAGTGTGTTATTGCTGATTCACTGACTTGAGGAAATAATCTATTATTATTCACACTTCGAAAACCCTCTGTAATCTCGAAGACCTCTGCTGAGTCTCCTCTTAACTTTCTCAGTCAGAAAATCCAGCTGTTGAATACCCAATGGCAGGTCGGTGCTGGACACACCAGACTGTGGCTGCAGTCAGTTTGTGCTCCGAAGAACTGTTTATTTTGCTTAAAAAGTTCTGAAATGTTTTCACACAGAGAGTGTGTAGTTCAGGCAGAGTCCATCGGTTCCTTTAAAAGGGAAATATGGGAATCCTTAGCTCAGTGGTTAGAGCACTCACCTTGCAAGTGAGTTGGGTAAATTTCCTTACTCCACACACACTCCTCTGTTTATCCAGCAGTAAGTAGGAACCTGGTTGTTAGTCAATTAGCGGATTGCTTTTCAATTAGCGGATGCTTCAATCCGTGACTGTTTGTGGAACGCTGCTGTGGCTGCAACATTTCCCCCACAAAATATACAGTCAATTCACTTTACAGTATATTCTGGTGAAGCGCTTTGAGATGTCTCGAACACGTGATAAGGCGCTATAACAAATGCAAGCATTATTATTAGTAGTAGTCAGGCTCTATATAAATGTGACTATGTACCACATCGCATTCTGTAGGAAAGCACCAGCAACGACTGGATGGACCGAGTGGCCTGTTTCTGTGCTGTAACGTTCTGTGATTTTATTTTATCAATAATGAATTGACTTTGATGTAGAACCTACATGGAGTCCTGTAGCTCAGTGGTTAGAGCACTCGCTTTGCAAGCGAGAAACCCGAGTTCAATTCCAGGCAGAGGGCCAAACCTTGGGCAAGTTTCCTTACTCCACACAGAGCCTAATAATAATCCCTCCAAAAAAAATAATAAATTGGTCATTTTCAATTCATGACTGTTTGTGGGACATTGCTGTGCGCAATTGGCTGCCGCATCCGCCCACAAATATACAGTCAATTCACTTTACAGTATATTCTGTGAAGCGCTTTGGGACGTCTAGAAGATGTGAAAAGCACTATATCAAATGCAAGGATTATTATTATTATTACAATAGTGAAACCTTTCAAAAGCAACAACAACTTGCACTTATACAGCGCCCTTCGTGCAGGTTAGTGACACAGAGCGCAGTCTGACACTGGGCCAGTTAGTGGGAGGAGGTAACCCTAAGTGCGGTCAAAGAGGAAGGTCTTCAGGTGTGACCAGAAGATGGGGAAGAAGAGGGTAAGGAGGAGGGATTGAGGGAGAGACTTCCAGAGTTTCAGGGCATTTCTTACTTTACTCTCACTAAACTTTCTCCATTTATGTGGAATTACTGTTGGGTGACTTTGTATCTGTAGGCACATGTAGCCAACTTGCACACAGTAAAGTCCCCAAACAACCGTGAAGCGAATGACCAGTTTATAATAATAATCCTTGCATTTGATACAGTACCTTATCATGTCTTCGAGACGTCTCAAAGCACTTCAAGGATATACTGTAAGGTGAATTGACTGTATTTTGCAGGTGAAACGCGGCAGCCAATTGCACACAGCAGCGTCCCACAAACAGTCGTGGATTGAAGTGACCGATTTATTCTTATAATTTTTATTTTTATTTATTTTTGGAGGAATTATTACCCCCGGAAAAGCGATCTGATGATCGACTAACAACCAGGTACCTACTTATTGCTAGGTAAACAGAGACATGTGGAGTAAGGAAACTTGTGTAAGGTTTTGCCTCGCCCGGGAATCAAACCCAGGTGTCTCGCTTGCGAAGTGAGTGCTCTAACCACTGAGCTACAGGAGTCCAGGATTGTTGGCCAGGGAGACACTCCGTTTTCTGTCATAAATACTGTTGTGGGATACTTTACCTGCACCTGAACAGGCCCAGCGGGTCTTCAGATGAACATTTTACCTGAAGGACAGCACTTCCAACAATGTAGCATTCACCCCAACACTGTGCTGGAATGTGAGTATAGACTGTGTGTTTCCCTATTTGTCTGCCACGACACCGCATGGCCGGGAGTGGGTATCACACAACGCTGTTCAATGATTCCTGAATTGAAGTCAACCAGCAAATCTTGTTGAATTTTGGCTCGTCAATTGCCTCTGGAGTATTTGCTGGATTGACTCGGAATAGAATTGGCAGAGAAGCAGGTAACTGCTGGCCAACAGGAGATGTTACATTCGCTGTAGTTACTGAGTCACACAGACCAGATGTGCTAATCTGTGCTCATCCCAAACCGTCCATCCACTTGTTTCCCTCCCACTCAAACTCTCACCCACACCCACCCACTCACTCACTCAAACTCTCACCCACACCCACCCACCCACACACTCACTCAAACTCTCACCCACCCACACACTCACTCAAACTCTCACCCACACCCACCCACCCACACACTCACTCAAACTCTCACCCACCCACACACTCACTCAAACTCTCACCCACCCACACACACACTCACTCAAACTCTCACCCACCCACACACTCACTCAAACTCTCACCCACCCACACACTCACTCAAACTCTCACCCACCCACACACTCACTCAAACTCTCACCCACCCACTCACTCACTCACTCACTCAAACTCTAACCCACCCACTCACTCACCCACTCAAACTCTCACCCACCGACACACACACTCACTCAAACTCTCACCCACACCCACACACTCACTCAAACTCTCACCACCCACCCACACACTCACTCAAACTCTCACCCACCCACACACTCACTCAA